CTTGCACCTGCTGGATGACCGTGCGCAAGCCAGAGTTCTGTCAGAGCTGTTCTTGAAAAAGAGCAGTTTCTGTCAGAGCTCTCTCAGCCCCACCTACCTCACTGGGTGTCTGTTGTGGGGAGGGGAAGGGAAATGAGTTTGTAAGTCGCTCTGAGACTCCGAGTGAAGGGCGGGGCATAAATCCAATCTCCTCTTCCTCTTCTTCTTTCTCTTCCTCTTCTTCTTCCACTAAGGTGTCTGAGATCGCTTTAAGAGCCCAACCAAGAGGACTCCAACCAGAGGTCATTTCGGGGGGGATCGCGGGGGATCGCAGTTCCCCCGGGTGAGGTACGGGGGCGGGGCACATGACGAAGCCCCGCCCCCTGCTTCCGGCCCTCATTCAGCCAGGAGGAGGCAGGAGAAGAGGGAGGGTAAGTTGCTTCCTCCCTGCCTCTCCCCACCCCTGCCTGCCTGGAGACAGGGAGGGCCCTCGCGGGGCTTCCTTGCACTCCCGCCGGGCTTGCAGGTCCACCGCCGGGCCCCTCACGGGGCTCGGCAGTGGAGCTGCAAGGACGGCAGTGGCGGCCGGGACCATTGGGGGCGGGGTGTGTAGCCTTATGGCACACTTCCGGTGATGTCAGGGGGTGTGGCATATGCCAATGAGTTATGCTAATAAGTTCCCCTACCTCTTTTTCTACGAAACGACCCCTGGTTGTGGTGGTGATTGCCATAACACTAGCACAGTGCCTATTGCATACAGCCCATACACACGTTGTCTCTGTGCCAATGTTAGACTGAATGTGGGAAGGTGGGGGTGAGCTCAGGTACATGCATTCCCTATACACACAACATGTTTGAAACCAGCACAATGATAGACCAGCCTAGAGAAGCTCAATAAAAGAAGCAAGGTACAATACATGAATTGGCAGTCTTGGGTTGTCAGCATTTTTCTTGCATAAATTTAGCAGGCCAAATTTCTCCCATCCCTTTATATCCATACTAGGAACAGTTTCACCCATCAGCTGGTAAAGTTATCAGAGTACTATCACCCCCACGTGCTCCCTGTTTTGGGTCCCTTGGACAAGAAATAGATCAGTCTGTTTTCTGCATATCAGTTTAAGGAAGCCAGAAAGCTACCAAATGAGCACATTATGACAGGATGATGAGAGGAAAACATAATGACTATTTCCAAATATTTAATAAGTTCAAGTTAAAATAGAAAGATATTGTTCTTCCTCAGGCTCGCTCCGTTCATAAAAAAAAGATTTTAGTTACAAAGTGCACTTGCCTTAAAGCTTCAAAACCACATCCTAAGTACTGCCACGCAACCCCACAATAAACTGTCCCCAGTGACTGTGGAATCTCCTCACCAGAATTTTTGCTCATGTCAAGAGGCTTACAAGGGTGTAACTCTGCCTAGGATTGTACTGTTAATTTCCTTTCTCCCTTGAACCATCCACCCAACTTTTCCAGGCTCAGATGGGAGAGTTTTAGTTTAGTCAAAGACCTAAAAAGGAAGTACCAGAACCTCTTGGAAACTGTCCAACAACAGGCTTCAACACAATGGAGGATAAACCTTAAGCCAGTAATGGTTTGGGCTCATGACACAAGAACACTGTGGGTAAGAATGCAGTTCCTGTAGACCACCACCCCATATTCAGCAAGCAGCATGACTTGGGGGTGCTACAAAAAAAAAAAATTAACAGTATCACCCTAGTTTCTGTTCACTGGAATAAACTGAACAAAGTTTGAGTCCAGTGGCACCTCTATGAACAACAAAGTTTTATCCACGGTATAAGCTTTCGTGTGCAAACGCACTTCTTCAGATGTCCAGAATAAAACTTTTGTTGGTCTTCGAGGTGCCACTGGACTCCAACCTTGTTCTGCTGCTTCCGACCAACGCAGCTGCCCACCTGGAATAAAAACAGTAACTGTTAGCAGTAACAAGGCCTCAGAAAATTATTTGGATTACTTAATACTTGACTGCTCGCACCAAAAAAACTGCTCCGGGTGAGTGGTGGAGAATAGATTAGGCTAGGGTTGCCAGCCACCAGGTGGGGCCTGGGGATCTCCCGCTTTTACAATTGATCTCCAGCCAACAGAGATCAGCTCCCCTGGAGAAAATGGCTGCTTTGAAGGGTGGACTCTATGGCATTGTACCATGCTGAGGCCCCTCCCCTCCCCAAACCCCGCCCTCTCCTGGCTCCACCCCCAAAGTCTCCAAATATTTTCCAACCCAGACTTGGCAACCCTAGATTAGGCGAGCCTTCAGGAAACCTTGTCACCCTTCTCAGGTAGTAGACTTGGGGAGAGGTACTTGCTAATTTAACTGGCCCCCCATAAGAGCTTGAGAGATGGGATGAGAGAAAGGCCAAGGTTACTGCAGGCACAGAACAGGCAGGTTGAAGTCCAGTAGCACCTTGGAGATCAACAAGATTTGGGGGGCATGACCTTTCAAGAGTCAAAGCTTCCTTCATGATGAAGGGACCTTTGACTATCAAAAGTGCATCCCTCTCGCCTTGACCTGGATAGCCCAGGCAAGCCCAATCTCATCAGATCTTGGAAGCTAAGCAGGGCCAACCCTGGCAAGTACTTGGAAGGGAGACCTCCAAGGAATATCAGGGCTGGGATGCAGAGGCAGCCAATAGCAAGCCACTTCTCTGAAGCATCAAAGCCCCACTATGGGTCACCAGAAGTCAACAGTGACTTCCAGGCACATACACACACACAAAATACACACGAAAAAGTGCATACCTCCAAAAACGTGTTGGTCTCTAAGGTGCTACTGGACTCAAATCTGGCTGTTCTACTAGAGACCGCCACGACCACCCTCTGAAACTATCTGCAAGCCTGGTGTGGTTCTTCCAGCACAGATCTCACTGCTGCATACCACACATGTGCAGGGAAACAAACATGAGTTTGCTTAACACACACCATGGTGTACCCTTATGCAGGAAAAATATTCATGCAGGGAAACTATCACAACTGAAGCAGCCTATATAATGCCGACACCTGGTAAACACAGGCACCCTCGTTTAAATATATGCAAATACTAATTAAGTCAGTAGCCTTAGCATCAAGCTTGCAACCCTGGGCAATTAAGCCCTGCTCAACTCAAT